TCCGTCATCCATATGAACACTCGCGGAGCCGAACGCCGGATATATCCGTCATCCACATGATCGCCCTCTGGGAACGAACGCCGGATATATCCGACATGCTGGTAAAATCGCGACCTAATTTTTGGACTGCACCGCCTCTTGTTACTATTGCGTGAATCTTTTGACGAAACAAACAAACGACAGTCCGAAATAAACGACACACCATTCAAGTTATATTTGTTCTACCTGCATTTCCCATTATTATTGTGTTACATGTCATAAAGGGATAGAAAATCGAAAGTACTAACTTTAGGACTAATTATTATGTATTATGTTTTGTGTATTATGAATATTATGTTTTATTTTATTACTGTATATTATATATTATTTCTTCACTTTTTCCATTGTTAATGAAACTTTTTTTACCTATTAAATAACTTTATACCTTATGCAGAAATTATAACTATACTGTTTTAAAGAAAAATCCCTTTTCTTCCCAAATACACTATCCACGCGCAATGTGCACAATTTCGGCGGGTGGTTCCGTTCAGGAGGGACGCTACGGCGGACTGAACCGCCGTAGCGAAAGGGTTAAACAGAATATCTACCTGTACTTTCGTCGCGGCATTGCTTGGCCCAGGTGTCGGGAACACCAGGTACCTCTTCCCGCGATCGGAACAACTCACCCCACGAGCCGCGAGAAGAAGGCTCGCGAACAGAAGAATTGCGCAGCGCATGTTTGCCATGCGTGGCGTCTAGCTGCAGCCGTTCGAACTAGCATCCGGCGCGGGCTGCGCAAGTATAGACACCGAGAGACCCGTTAATAGCGGCAATTAGTTCGTTATCGCGAGTTCAGCGAATAATGAACCGGTTTCGATCGCTTGGCTCCCCCATTTACCGCGGCCGAAGGCGTGCTAGGCGCTGGGTAGATGGACAGGCTGCATTGAAACTGCAGCAAGGTGCCCGCAGCGAGGTTAATGCAGCGATCAGCTCCTATTCACCGCTCTGAAGGCCCTCGGACGTAAACTTTTCGAGTGTGGCTGCAATTAATGCGTCGAATCAATTAACCGGTTGGTAGCGCACCTCGCGGCTATTTTTCCCTCTTTGCTAACCAGAGATCGTAGCTGCGGGATTAAAGCGGAGAGTGCCTGATGCGGTCGAACGGGAACCCGAAGTCTCGGGAATATACGTGAGATCGTGATGCGAGCTGGCGGGGCTTATCGTTGGAACCGATTCCAGAAAACCGGAAGAGCTTCCGAGGCGTGTTTCAATCTCCGAACTGCAAACGGTCGAGCGAAATGACGGGGACAAACAGAGAAAAGAACCCGGCCAACTTAATTCCAATCCAGACCTTACGTGGGCGAGTCAAAAATTGAATATTTATTGTGGAGAAGGGTCTAATGCCCATTTCATACATTCAATTAGGGAATTGCTGTATAGCGGTGTGATTTTGATGCCGGTGGTATCGCCTTAAGTGACTGGGCAGTAGCTCGATAATACTTATTAACAATTTCGTCACTTTTCCATGAACAAAACAACTACGTTATTTATACTTCTTTAACCCTTTCGCTACTACGGACCACTATAGTGGCTTTCCATATGATGCCACTGAGGTACTACGGACCACTATAGTGGCTTTCCATTTGGTGCCACTTAGGTACTACGGACCACTATAGTGGCTTTCCATATGGTGCCACTGAGGTACTACGGACCACTATAGTGGCTTTCCATTTGGTGCCACTGAGGTACTACGGACCACTATAGTGGCTTTCCATATGGTGCCACTGAGGTACTACGGACCACTATAGTGGCTTTCCATTTGGTGCCACTGAGGTACTACGGACCACTATAGTGGCTTTCCATATGGTGCCACTGAGGTACTACGGACCACTATAGTGGCTTTCCATTTGGTGCCACTGAGGTACTACGGACCACTATAGTGGCTTTCCATATGGTGCCACTGAGGTACTACGGACCACTATAGTGGCTTTCCATTTGGTGCCACTGAGGTACTACGGACCACTATAGTGGCTTTCCATATGGTGCCACTGAGGTACTACGGACCACTATAGTGGCTTTCCATTTGGTGCCACTGAGGTACTACGGACCACTATAGTGGCTTTCCATATGGTGCCACTGAGGTACTACGGACCACTATAGTGGCTTTCCATTTGGTGCCACTGAGGTACTACGGACCACTATAGTGGCTTTCCATATGGTGCCACTGAGGTACTACGGACCACTATAGTGGCTTTCCATTTGGTGCCACTGAGGTACTACGGACCACTATAGTGGCTTTCCATATGGTGCCACTGAGGTACTACGGACCACTATAGTGGCTTTCCATTTGGTGCCACTGAGGTACTACGGACCACTATAGTGGCTTTCCATATGGTGCCACTGAGGTACTACGGACCACTATAGTGGCTTTCCATTTGGTGCCACTGAGGTACTACGGACCACTATAGTGGCTTTCCATATGGTGCCACTGAGGTACTACGGACCACTATAGTGGCTTTCCATTTGGTGCCACTGAGGTACTACGGACCACTATAGTGGCTTTCCATATGGTGCCACTGAGGTACTACGGACCACTATAGTGGCTTTCCATTTGGTGCCACTGAGGTACTACGGACCACTATAGTGGCTTTCCATATGGTGCCACTGAGGTACTACGGACCACTATAGTGGCTTTCCATTTGGTGCCACTGAGGTACTACGGACCACTATAGTGGCTTTCCATATGGTGCCACTGAGGTACTACGGACCACTATAGTGGCTTTCCATTTGGTGCCACTGAGGTACTACGGACCACTATAGTGGCTTTCCATATGGTGCCACTGAGGTACTACGGACCACTATAGTGGCTTTCCATTTGGTGCCACTGAGGTACTACGGACCACTATAGTGGCTTTCCATATGGTGCCACTGAGGTACTACGGACCACTATAGTGGCTTTCCATTTGGTGCCACTGAGGTACTACGGACCACTATAGTGGCTTTCCATATGGTGCCACTGAGGTACTACGGACCACTATAGTGGCTTTCCATTTGGTGCCACTGAGGTACTACGGACCACTATAGTGGCTTTCCATATGGTGCCACTGAGGTACTACGGACCACTATAGTGGCTTTCCATTTGGTGCCACTGAGGTACTACGGACCACTATAGTGGCTTTCCATTTGGTGCCACTGAGGTACTACGGACCACTATAGTGGCTTTCCATATGGTGCCACTGAGGTACTACGGACCACTATAGTGGCTTTCCATTTGGTGCCACTTAGGTACTACGGACCACTATAGTGGCTTTCCATATGATGCCACTGAGGTACTACGGACCACTATAGAGGCTTTCCATTTGGTGCCACTGAGGTACTACGGACCACTATAGTGGCTTTCCATAAGATGCATTATATTGCATAATGTTTTATTTCCTCTCATACTGTAAATTAAAGAGCGCATGCTAAGACGTTATAAAATACCCTGGAATACCCTTTATTTATAAATACCCTTTGGAGAAAAATTTTTTCGTTCGAAAAATTCATTCAATTCAAACAGCTTAGGTTCTCCGCCGACCGCCGCGGAGTACCGACTTCCGCTGACGATCGCCGTCGCGTAGCGTGCAGTGATGTCGCAGCGCTCTGTTCAGCAGAAGTACCGCGACGGAGAACCCGCTCGTAGCGAAAGAGTTAACTGTAGAGCGTCTTGCAATTGATAAACCATTTAAACCATGTAGAGCCGCGTAACCATACTCCGTTGTTGGTTACACTTGAGAACAGTTTACATTCTTAGCATTTTCGATAAACTAGATTTCTTAATATGTTCCCTTTCGAATTTTCTAATTATTATCGTTTAGGAAATAATTACAATTTTCTACTTAAGTTATATCAAACCACATCAACTTGGCTCATTATTTGAGTATAGCTTTTTCGGCCAGCGCTAAAAGGATTAATAACGAAAGAACGATCGGAAATTTTTAGACCAGATACTTGAATATCGCGAAACTACAGAATTATGAATAGCATAGTTTGAAGTATTTATTTTCACTTAATCGAAGTCTAACACAAATGATACGCACTGCGGAACGCAATGATGAGCGTAATATCAAAATTCTAATTAAACGAAATCATCGGATAACAAATTTCAGGAAAATATTAGGTATGTATGGGATGATTCCTAAAGGGATGGTTCCTGAGGTCTTTTAAAGTAACTTTTTCCTTGGCGAAAATATAATCCGCGACTTCGTTTACGAGTTATTAATGAAAAACACTGACCAATGAGAGGCGAGATTGCCTAGCGCTACGCGGCCGAGCCAATCAGCGGAACTGGGCTTCGACCGCCCGTTGGCTTGGCCGTCTGGCGCCAGCTGAGCTCACTTCATCTGGATAACTCGATTACTTGTTATGATAGAAAAAAGAGGATCAGGCAAAAGTTATTTGATTTTGAGGGACACATAATGTGATGTCAATAGTTTTCTTGTAGACGGAGACGTAGGAGAGATATAAACGTCAAACTTGATCTTTTTTTAGATTTATAGTTTTTTATTTATATTCGGATAAAGTCTTTCAAGAGAGGAACACAATTACGTGAAACGTGAAAGATGACCGCGATATATGGGTTTTCGTTAACAACTCGTAAACAAAACCACAGATTGCATTTCCGCTAAGGGAAAAGTTACTTCAAATGACCTCAGAATTCGCCCCTTTCCGGGTGTTAACACATTAACCCTTTCGCTACGGGCGGATTCTCCGTCGTGGTACTTCTGCTGAACAGTGCGCTGCGACATCACTGCACGCTACGCGACTGCGATCGTCAGCGGAAGTCGGTACTCCGCGGCGGTCGGCGGAGAACCTAAGCTGTTTGAATTGAATGAATTTTTCGAACGAAAAAATTTTTCTCCAAAGGGTATTTATAAATAAAGGGTATTCCAGGGTATTTTATAACGTCTTAGCATGCGCTCTTTTATTTACAGTATGAGAGGAAATAACATTATGCAATATAATGCATCTTATGGAAAGCCACTATAGTGGTCCGTAGTACCTCAGTGGCACCAAATGGAAAGCCACTATAGTGGTCCGTAGTACCTCAGTGGCACCAAATGGAAAGCCACTATAGTGGTCCGTAGTACCTCAGTGGCACCAAATGGAAAGCCACTATAGTGGTCCGTAGTACCTCAGTGGCACCAAATGGAAAGCCTCTATAGTGGTCCGTAGTACCTCAGTGGCACCATATGGAAAGCCACTATAGTGGTCCGTAGTACCTCAGTGGCACCATATGGAAAGCCACTATAGTGGTCCGTAGTACCTCAGTGGCACCAAATGGAAAGCCACTATAGTGGTCCGTAGTACCTCAGTGGCATCATATGGAAAGCCACTATAGTGGTCCGTAGTAGCGAAAGGGTTAAAGGCGGGGGATCTTGACGAAAGTATGCTAGGTAACGCGGCGACCGCCCCGTCTCGTTTTTCGTCCTAGAGCGGGCGATATTTTGTGTAATCATAAAAAAATTTAGACTCAAAAAAGTTTATTTAAGCTCTTAAAACTAAAAGAAATATTAAAAAAGAATTAAACACTAATTACAAAAAATGTTTTAAAGTACATATTTATGAGAAGTCGAGATAAATCGTAGTACTACGACTCCCGCCTTTAATGTGTTAACATAATTATGGGACACCCAGTATACAGATAGGAAAAATGCTGATAATTATTTGTATTTCGTTGTTTGCACATCGGTTCTGG